TGTAAGCGCAAAAAAGAATATGGTTGTGCTTGGCGAATCCGGGCTACAAAAAAACATGTGGGGTTAGATATGTTCAAAGTTGTTCATTATGCAGGTCCTCATATGCCAACTTGTCTAGGTAACGTCGATAACAATGACCATGCTGGTATCACATCTCAGTTCATAGCACGTGAAATTATTGATCTTCTTCGTACTGATCCATCACCGAAAGTCCGCACTATTAGTGAGCTTATGAAGGAAAAGTACGGGTATGCACCTTCGTATAAGCGAAGTTGGTTGGCTAAGAAAAAAGCTATCGGTGAAATATTTGGAGATTGGGAGGCTTCATATTCTGCTCTGCCCCATTTCATGTTGGCATTACAGCATTCCAATCCAGGGACGATCGTGCATTGGTACCCACCTATTTCAGGTACCAATGAGTTATTAATATCTTTATTGTATCATATTACATTCCATTTTAAATTCGTCCCACTAATTTTCTCCGTCTTTCAGGTACCACAGACTTTGTGCAGTTTCAAAGAGTTTTTTGGGCTTTTAAGCCATCCATTAAAAGCTTTAAACATTGTCATCCCTTACTGACCATTGATGGAATGCACTTATATGGGAAGTAAATGTACGTTGTTGGTGGCAATGGGTAGTGATGCTAATAATCAACTTTTCCCTTTGGCGTTCGCTATTTGTGAATCAGAGAATGGAGAGAGTTGGCCGTGGTTTATGGGATGCATACGTCATTTTATCACACGTAGAGAATTGTGTGTTATTTCTGATCGACATGCTGGAATTCTGAAGGCACTTAATGAGGTAGGTAGTGGATGGGAGGAGCTGGATTCACGACATAGGCTTTGCATACAGCATGTCACTTCTAATCTGCATACTCAATTTAAAGACATTCACTTGAAGAATCTGTTCGTTTGGACAACAAGTCAACGTCAAAAGAAGAAATTTGATGGTGGATTTAACATGATAGGCGAGATGCAGGCACAAGCACGAGAATATCTAGCGAACATTGGTTTGAAGAAGTGGTCTTTACACCACGACGGGGGGTACAGGTATGGCACCACAACAACAAACATGGCTGAGGTTTTCAATAGCGTCATGAAAAGTGCACGATACCTGCCTATAACTGCCTTAGTTCGTGTTGCAGCAATTTGATCCCGCTCCTTGTGATACTTCTCTGGACTTACACAAGATCGACAGGCGAGGGAAACACACTGAAGATTCGGGCATGCACCATATGCCGTATATCACCATGTGGGATGAGAGAGCAGCATATATAGTTGACGGATCCCATCAGTAGTCCCCACAGTCTCTGCAGATTATATGAGATGGTATCACAACATTACACTTGTATTCATCTCTCCCAGTTTCCGTCTACCCATTGATCATTACCAGCCTAGCTCAGTCGCTCTTCATATCACAGTACATAATATATTCACATAAATCACTTTATTTATTTATTCATGTGTTTATCACTAGTAACCATGTTTTCATTACAGACACGGGCTTTGCATACTATCCGTGACAGAGTGACTGCTCAACTTGATGAGGGGCAAGATGTAGAGAGATATCATGAGGTGTGCTCGGGCATTGCTGTATTGTGTGATGATGTATTGGGACGAGTAAACCATGGATATGTGGCCGCCTCTCACTATTCCATGGCATCTACGTCCAAAGCAAGGTCTTCCCAAGGACGACGACGTGATAGAGTGGTTCTTCAGCCACGTAACCAGCGCAGACGCCCTCGACGTCAGGCACAAGCACAACCACATGATCTTTATGATGACGATCACGTTGAATTGTGATTTTTGTACTTTATATTATTGTGTTAAACAAGAACTAGTTGATCGATTTATGAAACATTGGATTTATTTTGGACTTTATGTGATATGTCTAGTATCGTGATCAAATGTAGTCCATTGATTCGTTGTGTTTCTACTATGTTTTAATTTTTAGCAACCTATATTCACTATGAAGAGCTGTTTTTTTGATGTTTTGAGTTGATTGTACTGTAAAGAGCGGGTTTTTTTTGTTTTTCCGATTGAATAAGCTGTGAACAGGTTTTTGTGTTTTTTCATCCTGATTTAATTGTTTTTGTTGGCGAAGAGAAGATCCGCCACTTGAAGTGGCGGCTTTTGTGCAGCAATAGAAGAACTGCCACTCCAAGTGGCGGCTTTCGTGCAGTAATAGAAGAGCCGCCACTCCAAGTGGCGGCTTTCGTGCAGTAATAAAAGAGCCGCCACTTGAATTGGCGGCTTTGCTTAATCCGGGTTAACTCGAGTAGTATTTCGGGAATTATTATTAACCCGAAAGTATTTTGGGAATTATTTATTTAATTAGCATTATTCCGGGGAAAAACTCAATAACAATCGAAGAATCCAGAATTCCAGAGAAGTATATTTGACATATTCCCATCGACTTGGATAGTTTTATTACAAATGAACGATCAATCGCTTTGTACTTATCAGCATAACAAGAGTAAAGAGGTGTTAGTTTCTGGCGTTGTTCCTCTTACGATTCAGTCTATCTTCCATGCTCCTCCTCAATATAATTTTTTTATGACAAGAAACTCCAAATAATGTGTGGTTCTACAAACTCCAAATAATGTGTTCTTCAGGGTTTCAATTTTCTGTAACCCTTGTTAGTACCAAATACCTAGTCCATATAATTTATTCGAATAAAACAGTCGATGCTGCAACCATGGTCAAAGGTGAAGGATAAGAAGGACTTGTGAGCTCGCTAGCGACAGGGTTGTAGGCTTGTTAATCAATTGACAAAGAAGGTTATCTTGGGAATATAAATTCTAAAAATGATCGTCTGATTACTAACGCTATCTATCCTAAAGTTTTGATTTAGTCCATTTATTCCGGCTCAAGCCTTGTTTAGCTCTTCAAACAAACGAGGCTAGTTTAAAAATATTGACCGAATTTTGAAAATTTCAGTTGTTTTTTAGCTGAATGGGCGTGCAAAACATAGCCTAAACATAAAAATCGAACCGCTACTCTGACCTACAGATTCTAAAATGCACCCTACATTCACGACCGTTTCGATTTAGGTTGAACTGTAACCCCGGGCATGTCTATATTGGGCCCACATCCGTTTGTCCTTCATTTTTTGTTTCATAAGAAAAATGATGACTAGGACCGGGACTTGGAATCGTAAACCGGGAAAACCGAACCGAATTTTCCGGTTCAGTTCGGTTCCTATAATTTTGGACTTCAGTTTTTTTTTTCAGTTCGGTTCCTACAGTATTTGATCATTTCGGTTCCGGTTCCTAGGCAGGAACCAAACTTATTATACATTGCATGAGTAATCTTCATTTGATGTGCTTTTGAGTGGAATTTTTGGATGAAATTTTTTGAGCTTGTTATTCATGAAATATAGATTATGTCCACCAAAGTTGAGCTTAAAATTCATCCGACATCCGAGAAATCAGATAAATAAATTTTTGAAAAACACTACGTCAAAATACATACTCCGTATAAAAAATGCAATGTTTTTCAGTATTTTATTTAACTCACTTCTGGATTGAATTTGAAGCTGAAGTTTGGTAGATATAATCTAAACTTCATGTAGAACATGCTCACAAAATCTCATCAAAAAATTCTACCTGGAAGCACCTAAAACGGAGGTGGTCAGACAACATTCCAGGCAGAAATTTCTTGTTGGGAATATTTGTCTTGCATAATATACCTTATATATTGTGGACCAAGCCAATCCGAGTAGTTGTTATTTTACTACTTTAGTCCACTTTTATATTTATTGTTTGTTTGTAATTGTATTTGTTATTTGAGTTCACCTAAAAAGGAATACTACATACTCTTTATTACAAATACTACATGTCAGTTTATTACTACATACATTTTACTTATGGTGCATTACTAGTAGACAAATATTATTTTGGGGTCGAACTACCTGCTATTGGATGTATACCTTGGAGCTATTAAACCTTTTGATGGATAGTTGATATCTATTTTAAAACTTTATGTTTTTGTTATGTTTAAACTTAATGTTTGCACTTGAATATTTTTGTGATATTTGAACATTGGGATATCATGTATGTATAATGTAATAGTCATAATGTCATGTATGGGTGGACTCGGGCCGGGCCGGGTCCAGGGCGGGCCGCCGGTTCAGAATAGTTGGCCCGGGACCGGCCCAGGTAGCCACCGGGTCCGATCCGGGTCCAGGTCGAGCCGGGTCGGGCCTCAGGCCACTTCCTTTTTTTTTTAATTTTCTAATTAATCCCCTAATACCTCCCCCCCTTACCCCCACCCCCAAACCACCCCAAATGACCCAAAACACCCAGCCCAACCCTAAAAAATAAAAAAAATGAAAAAACAAAAAAGAAAAATAAAAGGCCCGGAACCGGGCCGGTTCATCATTTGGCAGACTCGAGCCCGCACCGTAAAACCAATGGGCTGGGCCTACCCGGACCGGTCCCTGGCCGGGCTGGAACAGTACCGGTCCCAGGCCGGTTCCGGGTCGAGCCACCTGGCCCGAGTCCACCTCTAATGTCATGATTTGAAATTTGAATTTTTTTATGTAACTGAAAGTAAAATGTGTTCATTTTAGGAGGATAATAAATTTTGTATAAGGAACCGACAAAAGGTAAGAACCGAACCGCATTTATCAACTACTCCCTCCGTCCCATTAGAAGATTCCCGTCCACTATTTGCATGGTCAATTTAAATCATTTTTAATCGTTTACTTTATAAATCAAAATTTTATCAAATTTACATTTTTTTATCAGCCTTTGTAGTGGTTTTAATGTAGTTTCTGAATATATTAATTTTATTTACTAAAACTAATCAGAGTGTGAACAAGGATTAAGTTGCTTTATCGTCAGTCAAGCATCGTAAACCGTTCACGAGAACCTTCTAGCGGGACGGAGGGAGTAAAATTTTAACTAGAACCGAACCAAATTTAACTAGGGGTGGACTTGATCCGGTCCGGTCCAATATTTTTCCGAACCCGTACCCGTACCGTGACTATTGAGATGGCTCGGTTCGGTTCGGTCTTAGGCCTAAACTCGTTCAGTATGGTTCAATTTTCAAACGGGACAGTATCATATCATACCAATACCAAATAATGCCATTCTTCAAAAATTCACCCCATTTATCCATTTTGATATTTTTTTTGTTTGCCATGGTTCTTCAAGTCCGCGGCACGCCCGAGGTTTTTGTTTGTTTCATTGTGTTTGAATTTTCATATCTGTAAACTCTAAGATCCGCGCTTGCATTAGCAGTAGCCGGTAGGTGTGGGAGTATTAAATTTTTAGCTGCCGGCCGGGGCTACCACTTCTCCCCCATTAAAAGCCTCGGGAAACCCAAAACGATTCAAACCCCATTCATTTCATTTTCTCCTCCTCTCACATACCCACACAATTCCCTCTCATGGCCGCAATAGCAGTGACGAGGAGAATCGCCGTCCTCCTCCTAGTGGTGGTTGGGCTGGCCGTCACCGACGCGCAGGCGCCGGCGGGGGCTCCGGCAGCACCGGAGGACTGCATGACGGAGTTGCTGGGGATGTCGGATTGCTTGACGTACGTGGAGGCAGGGAGCAACCTGACGAAGCCGGACAAAGGGTGCTGCCCGGAGCTGAAGGACATCGTGAACAATCACCCCGTTTGTTTGTGCAAGCTTCTGGCTGACCCCAACAATAACAGTGTCGGAATCGCAATTGAGGTCAAGAAGGCCCTCAATCTCCCCACTGCTTGCAAGATTGATTCCCTTTCTCCCAGCCTCTGCTCAGGTAATTCTTTTTCCTCTTTCTAGGTTTTCTTCATTCACGATTTTTTTTTATGTTTTTACACTTCTATCATAAATCTGTCTGTTTGTTAAATGACTGAATCAGAAGGTGTAGCGAAAATGTTTTAAATTAATCTCACAATTAACCCATGTTTTTTTTTGTTTTGACCACTTTTGGAGTCATTTAGGGAGTGATTGCAAATGCTTTTGCTTTAAAAGCCCATTTTGAAGTGATTTTGGAAAAAGTGATTTTCAAAAGTAAAAGGTGGTACTCCCTCCGTCCCGGAATTATCTTCATTCTTTCTTTTTTGGTCCGTCCCAAATTTATCTCCTCTTTCCTTTTTTGACAAAGAATTTGTTGTTCACAACTATTCTTACACATTTCTCTTTCCTCTGCACAACTCTCCACCACATATTTCACACTATCTTAAAACCCGTGTCCAGTCAAATAAGGAGATAATTCCGGGACGGAGGTAGTAGTATTTAATAAAAGATGTGCCTTCGTGTAATAGAAAAATTGAAAAGCTATTTTAAGACAAAAGCCGAGAATGGCTTTTTTAAATTGTCGCTTCAAAACACTAATTTTAAATTTTTTAAGTCAAACCGAGAAGAGATTTTTTTAAGCTCTTGCAATCAGACTCTCAGTAATCCCCCATTTCAGCTTATGAGTATCGTCACTTTTGAATTCACACTTTAAATTGTTAATCATCAAAACAACTAAAATTGGAATGATTTTTCAGACTGATTTGACTTAAGTTCTCATGACCGTAATAGCTATTTTTTCATAGTTCTTTATGTAGTTTAGTTATCATAATTAACGAAACTCATATTTTCTGTCGAGTCGGGAAGTGAATGTTTCAAAACGAGCATTCAACCTTTTGGAACAACTATAATTACCGGTAATGAACAGTTACTACAGTAATGTACTATTTCGAAACCGTCACTTCAACCCCTTTACTAAAAAAGTATCATATAAGTACGTCTTCTTTACAAAATGGATCAATTTGACCATTTAATCAGCTTTTGACTTGTAATAGCAGATTTTTAATACTTAAAAATTCTAAAAAATTGTTAAAGTTTGAAGAAATATATACAAAAAATTGTGAATATTTTCAAAATATCAAAGTCAATATTTTTAATTTTAAAAAATATTTGTATATTCGACATCTATTTAAAAGGTTTATAAAGTTTTTATTTTTTATTTTCACGTTATTTTTTCAGTTTTATAATTTTTTAAATTTTTTACTTTAATGTTTTTAAAATTTTATCTATTTTTATATTTATACTATTTTCATATTATTATTAGATTATTTAATTATTTATTCAAATTTTTATGAATTTTTTAAGATTTATCAATATTCTTAATTTAATTTAAAAACAAATAACCTTCTATAGCAAGCCAAAACGTTTGATTTATTGTATTATAAAAGTAGACGTACTTATATGATACTTTTTTTAGTATATGGGCTTAACTGACGGATTAGAAATAGTAGAAGGGCTCATTTGATCATTTTTCCTTTTTTTAACTTTCAGAATCTTTTTTGTAACTACTAAAAAACGAATACTTATATCACGGCGGGTAAATGACTAAATGTATCAAAAAATAAACGCAGAAAAGGAAAGGGATAAAATGAATTTTGTATGTGCTTATATTCATCAATTTTGAAGTCTGTTTATTTCAAAATTTAATTACAATTACAACTTGATACAAGACTGGCTTATGAGTTCAGTTTTCAAATATAATATACATATACACGTTTAAATATGTTCTTATAAATTATACTACTACTACGTAGTATTTATAAATATACACAAGAAGTATCTTGTATTTTTAGAATTTATTGCATCACTATAGGACTTGAAAATAAAAACAAGGGAGAATTTAGGTTTGAAATTTCAAAATAGGATTGTTATGGTTGTTCTCCCGAAATAAGAGTAAGATTGACAGTATTTACTATCATCTTTTAGCCAAGACTGCCAAATAGTTGCAGTACTATGCATTTAACATGACAATATTTATTATAATTAATGAAAATATTTTTCAATCATGATAGTATTGATTCCTATTTCGTGAAGAAAAACATAGTAATTATAGTAATTCTATTTTGTGAAATTCGCAACTTTGTTTACTTCTATTTAAGTCAATTTCTCCAAAAATAATGATACAATTGATATTAATTGTGAAATAAGAATGATTGTGAATCATCAAATTTGGTATGAGAAGGACATGTTAAAGTACTTGAAGAAAACTACTTAAAGTAGAAATGTGGTACAAACAAATAAAATAGTGTACATCCCTTTTTTTAAAAAAAATAGTAATAATCGATGCATAGTGTTTAAATTCCATATTTAAACAATAGAGTAATACGTTTATGAAGTTCTTAAGTAATTCACATACTAGTATATCATTTTTGTTTTTGTTAAATCCAAAGTTATGCTGATTTTCTTATAGCCAAACATTGTGTGGTTGGTATTATTTGTTTCTAATTTAAAAACTGAATTAGAATGATAAGGTTTCATTTTCTAGTTCTGTGTACCTGGTCAAGTTGGAGGTTTATTCAAGACCAGAAAGCTATAATAATAATAATATAATAATGGTAACAATAAATGTTAACCTCATCCTGTCAGCCCAAGAGTTGGCACCTATATTTCAATGTGTATTGTATGAGTTAATAAATATTAATTAATTTATGGCCAACTCCCCATGAGACCGTTTTTAGTATATTTCAATGTGTATATGCCAACCTTTCTCAACTGCCAACTACTTATGCGTTGTATTTAGTTGGATATGCAGTGAATATAGTGAATCAAGGCAATAATAGACATGCTAGGCATATACTCCATTCGTCCTATTTTATAATACTCTAATTACATTATTAAAAGAAAATATGAGGTCCCCAAGATTTCACTTTAGTACAGGGGTAAGACTGCGTACATCCGACCCCCTTACCCCACCGTAGGTGGGAGCCTTTGCGACACTGAGGTAAATGAAAATGATATTAGTCATTTGGCATTAGTAAGAATTAGTTTTGCTTCTTTTTGTGGAAGAAAAATATAAGTTGATAAAATGGGAAATTTTAAATTCACTTTTAATTTTTGGATTATTTCCTATTATGAAATGCGTTGAATATGTTTTTTGTTACCAAATTGCTCATAATAGGAGCAAAATATAAACCAAGTTCACAAATACGACTAATTATGTATGCATTTTTCTTAAAACATGACTTATTTTGTTTTAGTGTATGTTCGGTACAATTGAATGAAATGATATATTACAAGTTTTTTAGTTAACTCATCTCTGGTATAACAGGTTGTGACAAATTGAGGCTAAAAATAGTAGAGTTTCTCTCGGATACACTTTCTCTCAGAAACTGCGCGCTCTTGATATTTCTAAAAAAAATCATAAATTTTTAAAACAACACATCTAAATTGTTGTGTCAAACATACAAGTAAAAGCTTTTAGAGACTTGTTAAATTGCATAAAAGTTAAAAGATAGTGAGTTATATATGGCAAACATGCACTCAAAAAAAATGATTTAGTCTTCTTGTTTAAGAGTGAATGGCTCAAATTGATGGCATAAAATAAGAGTTTTTTTCAAAATTATTAATAAAATAAAACTTATTTATAAGAATGTTACTAAAGTTACTATGAATATAATGTCGTGGTCATTAAGTGCAAAGGTCAAATATAATTTACTATGATTAAAGTTATTATAGTCATTATACTTAAGAATTCACATTTTGTAAAAAAACCTTTATGTTAAATATAAATATGTAATTGTTCATAAAATAATGGCTATCATATCTGAAGTTTGTTGTGTTTTAGTCACAAGCCGGCCATAAAGTAGCCAGTAGAAATTGTATTATTCAAACATCAGCTTTAAAAGATGCAAATGTCACTCTTTTTGTTGAACTACATTACAACAACATCCCAGCCTGTCCAAAAAGAAAATGTTTCAAAAAAAGAAAAGAAAATGACACTCTTTTTTTTTCAAAAGAAAATGTTTCAGATTTAATGTTCTTTAACCTGCCAAGAGAATATTAAACTTTATTACCTTTTGGTATTCTCAAGTAATTCAGCCAATTTGGTTATACCCAGGATAATTTATCTCTTTGAGTCAAATTTACCATCACATAAACTCTCTTTTGTTTCACTTTGCAGTTTTAGGTATAAATGTTGGAGTACCTGCTCCCTCTCCTGCTGAAGGGCCATCATCTGGAAAAGCACATGCCGCCGGTATTTATTATCACTCAACCATCCATTATTTCTGTGTTGAAAAAATCATTATTCCACCATATCTTAGCACAAAATTTGATTGTTTTTGTTTCAAGTATGATCACATCTCTCGAGGTGGAGAAGTTTGATGCATGTATTACCCAACAAAAAACGATGAACATGAAATTTTATTCACCGAAAATCGAAAAATGTAATAACATGGAGATTCAGATCGATATGTTCCATCCTAAAAGGTCAACCTAATAGGAGGAGTAGCCCGTGTCTTAATATAGCACTTCGTTGATTCAAACATTTCCGGCGTGGGATTCTAACACTCCTCACGATCAGACTCTTCGTCTGGATCGTGCCGCAATTCATTTTTTTTCGTCGGTTCGTCATTGTCATTTTTTATAATCGTGTCATCATTTTTCATAAGGGGTCCACACCATGGATCGATTTGGCTCTGATACCATGTTAAGACCCGGTGTTCCATTTTAAAAGGTCAACCTAATAGGAGGAGTAGCTCATGTCTTAATATAGCACTTCGTTGATTCAAACATTTCCGGTGTGAGATTCTAACAATATCCGAGGTTTTTCCAAAACTATTACTAATAAAAAAGTCATGAATAAAAATGTGATTTAGTAACTTTTAGTGACTATAATTGTGTTCAAAGTTTACGTCGTAATTAACTTTGAGCACATCTATAGTCATTAAAAATTATCAAGTCATATTTTTGTCAACTATTTTTTCAAAAGTAATATTAGTGGATTTTTTATAAGTTTTATTACTATTTTTGTTTGTTTAATGATTTATTAATACAAAGTTCAAAATTTTGTGGGCTGGAAAATGCAGATGCAGGAAGTCCATCTAGTGCAACAGGTGGTAGTGGTGGGTTAGCGTCAAGTCCTTCTGCTGGGAAGGGGGCCAGTGCTGCTCCAAAAACCACCTTCTTTCATCTCTGCCATTCCCTTCTTGCCTTGGCTTTTACTCTTTCCTTTGCATATTTTCTTTAATTTTATCAACCAAAATTCATTAAATTGATTTCCCACCATTCATGTCGTCTTTATTTTTCTACTTTGAGGGAATGTTCATGTCTTAATTATGTATCGTTTTGTCTAAAAAGAGCTGTGTTTACAGTACCTCTTATATTCTCCTGACATTTCATGGTATATATGCCTAATGTTCGCGTTGCGTATATAGTCTGTAAATGTTTATTACACGTGAAGTGCCAATGAAATAATTTGGACGGTGCATCTAGACATGAGAAAGATTAATACAAAAGAATAAATCCATAATGATTCTTTCTTCTTTCCATGATCTTATCTATCTATATTAAACATTTGTATATAATGTCAATTGCAATGTTTACTTCTGAATGATCATATTTTACATTGTCGACAAAAGTTTACCAAAAACATATAAAAATGAAAAGAAAGAGAATGATTTTTATGTTTATCTCTTCTGTCATATATGCACCATTATAAAGAGTCATCACAAAGATATATAAGGGGCAAACACTTTTTTTTGTCATTTCCACATAGGGATGGACCGGTTCCGGTTCGGGCTCGGCCGGGCCTTGGTTCATGAAGGGGAGGCCCGGAACCGGCCCGAGTAACCCCCGGGTCCGGGCCGGGCTTCGGTTCTATTTTTTTTTTGGCTTTTCCTAGTTAACCCCCAACCCTCCCCCTCACCCCCAAACCAACCCTAACCACCTCAAATGGCCCAAAATACCCAGCCCAACCCAAAAACTTAAAAAAAATCAAAAAAAAAAATGGCCCGGCCCAGGCCTGAACCGGCTGGGCCGGTTCACCTTTTGAAGAGCCCGAGCCCGAACCGACATCCCACCGGGCCAGGTGGCCCGAACCGGCCAACCAACCAGTTCACCAGGCCGGGCCGGGCCCACACAGTAGCGGCCGGTCCGGTTCCAGGCCGGTTGGCCCGGCCCGAGTCCACCCCTATTTCGACAAGAGGCTCCCAAGAATTAAACATGTGAGATGTATATTGACTATTGAGTGACAAAAAACTTCCTTTGTTTGGGAGAACCGAAGAAGAAACTAATGCACCTTTAAAGTCATAAACATTTGCCATTAGGGATGGACCGGATCCGATCTGCTCGGCCCGAGAACCGGACCGGCCGGCCACTATGCAGGACCGGCCTGATCCGGCCACTATGCGGGACCGGCCCAATCCGGCCTGCCACTGTGCGGGACCAGAACTGGGCCTAGGACCCGACCCAGGGGTGTTTTGGGGACGAGCTCGGGCTGCAGATTTCTTTGGAACCGGCCAATCCGGGACCGATTCAGGCCAAAAAAAATTCTTCAAAGTCTTTGGGTAGTAGGCGGGTTGGGTTGGGTGTTTTGAAGGGGTTTGGGGTGTGGGGTAGGAATTAAATAGAAAAGCAAAAAAAAAAAACGCTACCCAACCCGGTCCCGGTAGAATCCCGGGCCGATTCCGAGCCTTAACCCCCAATACAAAAGCCCGATTTGGACTGGCCCGAAACCGGTCCATGCCTATTTGCCAGACAATTGAATGAAAATAATTACTTACTCTGGCCCCGAATAAATTTCACATTTTTCTTTTGGACATGTCCAATATAAATTTTCAAAGTTCAAACTTCAATTTTTTTAAATTTTTAATATAAAATTACATTTGTACCCTTACTTTATTACCTACTTTACACTCACTTTCTCTCTCCCACTACATTTAGTCTACTTTTTGTAAGGGTATCATTATAAGTCAAGCAAAAATTTTACTTTCTTAAAATCATAAAGTCGAAGTTCATTTAGGACCGGAGAAAGCACATTCATAAATACAGGTTTTGCGTAGTATAATAATGTATATAGGACTTGGAGAAAGTGGGTTTTAAACTTTCAGGTGTTGATTTTTGTTTAGGGGGTATTACACACTTTTAAAGCGTAATGCAACAGTTTTTTATGCGACCATTTTCTTTCAAGTGTATAATATCGCTCCAGCCACTCAGCCGGTGTGCAAAGATCACTTTGATTTGAACAGTTGTAAATAAGTACACATGAATGTTTTTACTTGAACTATTTTCAGTCCTAGACCACACCAGACCTGAATTTCTTAGTTATAAAATCACAGAGATCAGACGTTTACCAGACTAGACCAGTTCAGACCAGACTTAAACAGGCCCGACCAGGCCAGGCCAACAAATTTTAGTCCAAGTAAAAACATCCTTAGTATCCCACGACTAAATTCCTTCACTAATATTCTAGGGAAAGACTTCAGATTTGGGATGCAAACCCTCCACAATTAGCTGAAGGTGTTTACGTGTATACACAGCTACAGAAGTACTACAAAAACGTATATAAAAGGTCAAAAATGTCAACCACTAAGAACTCAAGAGTATAGTAGGAAATACATAACTTTATATCTGCCTATGAAATTATGAATTGAATAGATAGATGACTGAATTCCCCCTTCTGCAAGGAAACAGCACTGAAACTTGAACCAACTGAAAACATCACTGTTTCTCCTTTTTTGCCAATGATTCTCCCTTATATTCACTGCCGGCAGTGACCACAAAGCCTGCCCCAACCTTTGTGTGGAAAAGTGCAAACCAAAGTATAGTGGGGAATTTCCGTGAGAAAGAAAATTATGAAATTGGTGCACTCGAAATGGCAAGCACGCACACACACACACACACACACATATTCTTGTGAGGGAGAGAGAGGTTACTTGGGAATCCCTCAGGACAACACGTTCTTGGAGCTGAACATTACTGCATACAATGGAACCTTGGATTGTACAACCATCACCAATTGTAACATGGTTCATGACAACAGAATTCACTACCTGTGAGTAGTCCATTGTACATCAAAAGGGATCTATTATCATCATTTCAAATGTCATATAAAGGTTACTCTATATTATACCTTTACATTTGAGCCAATCCGGCAATGGCGACCAATAATGGACTTTTTTACACTGCATTTATCACCCATTTCTGAACCCTCTCCCAGCATACAATGTGGTCCCACCTACAGAATCGATATAAAAAAAAAACAGTGTATAAATCATCATCAGTTGAGACTTGAGAAGATGAACATCAACAGCTTTGTTTGGATAGAATTTCGGAGGCATTAGAAGCATTGGCTTTGGAGGGCTTAATCTATATCTTACAAAAGAATAATAGTTTATGAAGGCAGAGGTTCAGCGAATGATAAGATCATCACAAAATTACCACAAAATGAATAAGTGAAAGTGATGTAATGCAAGGGAAAATTTGGAAGTTTTTACCATTTCTTGAACCTTTAAATTTTTTATTTAGATTTTACACATCTGAAATACTGACATAATATGTGACCATATACCATTTCAACCAGCTTTAATCAGTTTCATTGCCCCTGTATTTACAAAATACCAAGATACTCCGTATATAATAAGCCCTCCAAAGTCATCACATTCAAAACCACCCATCGAAATAGACACTAAGAAAAAAAATCTGAAAATGCACTTGTGCAACACATCTCACCGTTGTTTTCAAACCAAGCACAGACGAAGGATGAATTACGTTGTTATGTGCAGAAAAAGAGTAACCAGATAGGTGACTGGCATCTCCAATCACCTGAGCAATTAATAGATTAAAATGAGCCAATAAAATTGGATATGAACTGTACGTTAATAAAGTAGGAACAAAGCAAAATCGCTCACATCTCGATTTATATCACTGAAGGCTTGGATGGAATTCAAACGCATGCAATAATTGCTCTTGTTAGCAATATAAACACAGCACTTATGAGTATTCTTAGGAACTGGAACAGATTTTTCAGGACCACCAAATGTATATCGGTCATGAAAACTTTGAACAGAAGCATTGGCCATAAGTTGAGACAACGAAACTGAACTGTTAACCTGTGAAGCATCCTTATGATTCCCATTCTCTTCGGTGTGCACTCCATTGAGTGATAACTCAGATCTCTAAATATAATGTCATAAAAATCTAGTTCAAAACTAACACTAATAATAATAATAACAATAGTAATAATAATAACCAAAAATCAAACCACTGTGCAGTATATTGTACTAACCAGCTGACTTCTCACAAGGTATGGCAAGACATCACACTTCAAGCTCGTTAAACTTGGTTTAAGAGATAGAACTTCTTGCAGGGCAGTTCTAAAAATATTCAAATAAAATTACACCTCAAGCCATAAAAGGAAAAACAAAGTGAACTGTGAAAAAAGTGGCAGTGTTTCACACCTCTTGAATGCATACATGTGAGCATCCATCAGATCAGAGTGAATATCCATCTAAAAGGAACATTTGTATATGAGACTTGGGGAAAGGAAAAAATAGTAAATTTAATAAGACAGACAACTAAGTTGTATTATAAGGATGTTTTTACTCGGACTGTAATTTGCTAGTCTGGTCTGTTTTGGTCTGGTCTGAAATTTTATTTTTTTATATTTTTTGCCTAAAGATTTTATATTTTATACATATTATAATCCATAAATAATTATATTTTATTCATTTATAATTAAAAATAATAATAGTAATAATACTAATAATAATAACAATGATGATGACCATGATAATAATAATAATAATAATAAGGGAGAACTATCAAATAAGCCCTTGAACGTTCATAAAAAGTGCAAATAAGCCCTTTTTCAGGAGGCTTTGTCCGGCTGTCGCCATTTGGGGCGATTTCTGGTGGATTTTTTTGATGAAATTTTTTAAGCATCTTCTTCATTAAGTCTAGTTTCTCCATACCAAATTTCAGCTAAAACTGCAATCAAGGCAGTCAAAAGATTTTCTGAAATATACTGCGCTGTCTAACTGCGCAGTTATCTTCAAAAATTAATTTGACTGCCCTCCCGATTGAATTTTTAGCTGAAGTTTGGTATGAGTAAACTAGACTTAATGAAGAAAATTCATCAAAAAATTCCACCGGAAACCGCACCAAATGGCAACAGCCGAACAAAGCCTCTTGAAAAAGGGCTTATTTGCAGTTTTTATGAAAGTTCAAGGGCTTATTTGATAGTTCTCCCTAATAACAACAACAACAACAACAACAACTACAACTACAACTACAACTACAACTACAACTACAACTACAACTACAACTACAACTACAACTACAACTACAACTACAACTACAACTACAACTACAACTACAACTACAACTACAACGACAACGACAACGACAACGACAACGACAACGACAACGACAACGACAACTACAACTACAACTACAACTACAACTACAACTACAACTACAACTACAACTACTACTACAACAACAACAACAACAACAATAATAATAATAATAATAAAAATAAAATATGGTCTGGTCTGGTCTGGTCTGTTTTAGTCTGGTCTGGTCTTTTTTGGTCTGGGACGAATTACAGTCCAAGTAAAAACAACCTAATTGTTGA